TTGATTCAGGACAATTGTTGTATCACTCAGAGAGAAATTTCAAGCATAATCGGCATTTCATAAGAATGCGTAAGTCACATTATTGCTTTCCTTGGCTATCAGAAGATCTGTGCACAATGGGTACACAGGATGCTGACGCCTGAAATGAAAGCGCACAGACTTGAAACTTCAGGGACTGGATCTCACCACCGTATGACATCCTCCATAAGTCCATATTTAGCACCAACTGACTTCCATCTGTTCCTGATAATGAAAGAAGATCTGCGGGGACATCATTATGTTTCTGATGAAGACGTTGAGAGAACTGTGAGAGGCTGGTTGCAGAAACAGAGTGTCGACTTTTCTGTGTCGGCTTCAGAAAACTTGTTCATCATTGGCAGAAATGTATCCAATTGTCTGGTGATTGTGTGGAAAAGTGGATAGTGGTAGTTAAAGAGCACATTCTAAGGATGATTTCTGCATTTGATTTTATTAAAATATTCCCATCCAAATCCAAGTAACAAAGGTGGATAAATTAAAAATTTTATCAGTGAATCTGGTCCCGCTTAGTGAAAATTTATGTGGTCTTAATGCTTGTTTTTATATTGTTGCATCGTATATTATTTTGATTTTGCATTTTATGTATTTTTGCTTGGTTCTATGTTTTTGTGTTATTTTGTTGCATTGTATTGATGGACGTGGCCTCATGTAAGCCGCACTGAGTTCCCCTGGGGGAGATGGAGCAGGGTATAAATAAAGTTTATTATTATCTATATAAATAAAAATGTAATGTTTGTTTGTGGGATTAACAGAACTGAAAAACCACTGGACGAATTGACACCAAATTTGGACACAAGACACCTAACAACCCAGTGTATGTACTTCACTCAAAAAAATTGATTTTGTCATTTGGGAGTTGTAGTTGCTGGGATTTATAGTTCAGCTACAATCAAAGAGCATCCTGAACTCCACCAATGATGGAATTGAATCAAATTTGGCACACAGAACTCCCATGACCAACAGAAAATACTGGAAAGGTTTGGTGGGCATTGACCTTGAGTTTTGGAGTTGTAGTTCACCTACATCTGGACAGCACTGCAGACTCAAACAATGATGGATCTGGACCAAACTTGGCACGAGTACTCAATATGCCCAAATGCAAACACTGGTGGAGTTTGGGGAAAATAGGCCTTGATATTTGGGAGTTGTAGTTGCTGGGATTTATAGTTCACCAACAATCAAAGAGTATTCTGAACTCCACCAATGATAGAATTGGGCCAAACTTGGCACACAGCACTCCCATGACAACAGAAAATACTGTGTTTCCCCACATAAGTGGTACCCCACATAAGTGGTACCTAAATTTCATACTTGACAGATTTCATACTTGACAGATGCCACTGTCTTTTGTGTCAGGAGCTTAGTAAAACCAGGGCTGGCTTCTAACTCATGACCTTTTGGTCAGAAGTGATTTTAATGCAGCTGACTCCCAACCAGCTGAGCCACAACCAGGATGCAGCTGTAGAAGAAGCCTGGCGCTTTCTAGAGCAGTGGATTTCAACCTTCCTAATACTGTGACCCCTTAATACAGTTCCTCGTGTTGGGGTGACCCCCAAACATACAATTATTTTTGTTGCTACTTCATAACTGTAATTTTGCTACTGTTAGGAACTGTCATATAAATATCTGATATGCAGGATGTATTTTCATTCACTGAACTAAATTTGGCGCAAATACCCAATACACCCAAATTTGAATACTTGTGGGGTTGGGTAGTTGCTGGGATTAATAGTTCATCTGCAATCAAAGAGCATTCTGACCTCCACCAATGATGGACATGAACCAAACTTGGCACACAGAACTCCCATGACCAACAAAAAATATTGGAAGGGTTTGATAGGCATTGACCTTGAGTTTTGGAGTTGTAGTTCACTTATGTTCAGAGAGCACTGTGGACTCAAACAATCTGGACCAAACTTGGCATGAATACTCAATATACCCAAATGAGGACACTGCTGAAGTTTGGGGGGTGATTGATTTTGTCATTTGGGAGTTGTAGTTGCTGGGATTTATAGTTCACCTACAATCAAAGAGAATTCTGAACCCCACCAGTGATGGAATTTAATCAAATTTGGCACACAGAACTCCCACGACCAACAAAAAATACTGGAAGGGTTTGATAGGCATTGACCTTGAGTTTTGGAGTTATAGTTCACCTACATCCAGAGAGCATCATGGTCACAAACAATGATGGATCTAGACGAAACTTGGCACAAATACTCAATATGCCCAAATGTGAACACTGGTGGAGTTTAGGGAAAATAGACCTTGACAGTTGGGAGTTGCAGTTGCTGGATTTATAGTTCACCTACAATCAAAGAGCATTCTGAACCCCACCAATGATAGAATTGGGCCAAACTTCCCACACAGCACTCCCATGACAACAGAAAATACTGTGTTTCCTGGTGGTCTTTGGTGACCCCTCTGACACCCCCCTTCCTGACCCCCAGGTTGAGAAACAATGTTCTAAAGCAGCATTTCTCAACCTGGGGGTCGGGACCCCTGGGGGGGGTCATGAGGGGGTGTCAGAGGGGTAATCAAAGGCCATCAGAAAACACAGTATTTTTGTTGGTTGTGGGGGTTCTGCATGGGAAGCTTGGCCCAATTTTCTCATTGGTGGGGTTCAGAGTGCTTGTAGGTGAACTATAAATCCCAGCAACTACAACTCCCAAATGTCAAGCTCTATTTTCCCCAAATTCCAACACTGTTCACATTTGGTCATATTGAGTATTTGTGCCAATATTTGGTCCAGATCCATCAGTGTTTGAGCCCACAGTGCTCTCTGGAGGTTGGTGAACTATAACTCCCAAACTCAAGGTCAATACCCACCAAACCCTTCCAGTATTTTCTGTAGGTCATGTGCACCAAAGTTGGTTCAATTCCATCATTGGTAGAGTTCAGAATGCTGATTGATTGTAGGCGAACTATAAATCCCAGCAACTACAACTCTCAAGTGACAAAATCAATCCCCCCAATCCCATGTATTGGGTATTTGTGCCCAGTTTGGTCCAGTGAATGAAAATACATTCTGCATGTCAGATATTTACATTACATAACAGTAGCCAAATTATAGTTATAAAGTAGCAATGAAAATAATGTTGGGGGTCACCACAACATGAGGGACTGGATTAAGGGGTCACAGGTCACAGCACTAGGTGCTCTTACCGCCTACTACAGGGGAAGCCATCTGATCCCTAATCCATCTAAAACACAGATATGTTTTCACCTTAAGAACAGACAAGCATCCCGAGCTCTGAGGATTACCTGGGAAGGAATCCCACTGGAGCATTGCAGCGCACCCAAATACCTGGGAGTCACTCTGGACCATGCTCTGACCTACAAGAAGCACTGCCTGAATATCAAGCAAAAAGTGGGTGCTAGAAACAATATCATTCGAAAGCTGACTGGCACAACCTGAGGATCATAACTACACAGTAAAGACATCTGCCCTTGCGTTATGCTACTCTGCTGTACACATGCCCAGTGTGGAACACATTTCACCACGCTAAAACAGTGGATGTGGCTCTTAATGAGACATGCACAGGGTGTCTGCGCCCTACACCACTGGAGAAATTACACTGTCTAGCCGGTATTGCACCACCTGATATCCGCCGGGAAGTAGCAGCCAATAGTGAAAGGACCAAGGCAGAGACATCTCCAGCTCATCCCCTGTTTGGTATCAGCCAGCATGTCAACGACTTAAATCAAGAAATAGTTTTCTAAGATCTACAGAGACACTCGCTGGAACACCTCAGCAAGCGAGAGTCCAAAAGTGGCAGGCTCAAACCCAGAACCTCAATCAATGGCTGATACCAAATGAGAGACTCCCTCCTGGGCACACAGAAGACTGGGCGACTTGGAAGGCGCTGAACAGACTGCACTCTGGCACCACAAGATGCAGAACTAATCGTGGGCTACAAGTGGAATCCTTGACATGCGAGTGTGGAGAGGAGCAAACCACTGACCACCTGCTGCAATGCAACCTGAGCCCTGCCACATGCACAATGGAGGACCTTCTTGCGGCAACACCAGAGGCACTCCAAGTGGCCAGATACTGGTCAAAGGACATTTAACCAAATACCAAATTCGCAAAATGTGTGGGTTTTTTTCTTTTTCTTTTTAATCTCAGTGTTTTGTTCTGCTCTGTTAGAATTGTAATACAATGGTTGCTGATGACACGATAAATAATAAATAGTTCACCTACAATCACAGAGCATTCTGAACCCCACCAACTATGGAATTGAACCAAACTTGGCACAACAGAAAATACTGGAAGGCTTTGGTGGGCAGTGTCCTTTGGTTTTGGAGTTGTAGTTCACCTACATCCAGAGAGCACTTTGGACTCAAACAGTGATAGATCTGGACCAAACTTGGCACGAATACTCAATATGCCCAAATGTGAACCCTGGTGGACTTTGGGGAAAATAGAATCTTGACATTTGGGAATTGTAGTTGCTGGGATTTATAGTTCACCTGCAATCAAAGAGCATTCTGAACCTCACCAACGATAGAATTGGGCCAAACCTCCCACACAGAACTCCCATGTGGGCCACAGCAAAGCGTGGCAGGGAACGGCTAGTAAACTATAAATATTGTGAAATTATGGTTTGTTTCTCATAGTGACACCCCACCTGAGTTATACTCAGTTTTTGGGCGAATTTTGACACACCAAGCTCAAAAGATTGCCCATCACTGGCCTAGGACAATTTGGGGTCCCCTGCAAGAGGGCAAACACTGTCAACAGACAGCAGGCATCAAGTGGCAAGGCCTCATTAGATGTAGTTGTAGAAGCCTTTTTTTTTTTCTGGAGGAACTCAGGCCAAACCCAGGCCAAGGTCCCTTTTCCCCTAAAACTCTTCTCCTCTTGGGTGCCCCAGTGGGTGGGACCATCCCCTTTGGCCTTCCTCGCCTCCCCATTGGCTGCCTCCCGTCGATTGGGCCAAGCGGTTGGTTGCCGGCCACGCCACTCGCGGGGATTGACCTTCCCTTGTTTTCAATGCCGCTGTCAAAGTTGATCACTGGGGCGCTGCTCGGCGATGGAGAGAAGGGAAGAGGAGGAGGAGGAAGAGGAAGGAGAAGAAGAGGAAGCGGGAGAGGGGGATTATTATTAGTAGTCCAGTCCTAGCCAGGACACAGCGGATCCCTGTAGATCTAGGCGATCGGTTCAGCAAATAAGGAGAGGGCTAGGGAGGCGGCGCAGTGGAGAGAGAGGAAGGAGCAGCCGGCAAAGGCAGAGAAGGAAGGACTGGGGGCTTGGCTCATCCCTCTCTCTCTCTCTCTTCCCGCCGTCTGATCCTCCGATCCCCAAGCTAGAGCTTTCCTCCTGCCCCTGTCTCTCTTTCCTCCTCCTCTTCCTCCCCCCCCCTTCCCCCAACCATGACCGTTTCGGGTTTCACCTCATAAAGATGGCGGTGGGGGATCGCTGCAACCTTTAGACTCATGACTGTCAGAAACATCGCCTCCATTTGTAATATGGTGAGTACTGGAGGGCAAGGGCTCTGCTATGATTATTTTTGGGAGGGGGAGGGGGGATCGGATTTTGCAAAAAAAAAGCAGGAGGTGGGGTTCCTTCTCGCCAGATTTGCAGGACCGCCCTTTTCCTGAGAGGAAGGGGCCGCCCAACCCTGAGGAGCCCCCCTCCTTGCACAAGGCAAAACCCCGCCTTTTCCAGGAATGGTCCCATAGGTGGGATCTGCACTCCAAACCGCCCAGAGTTATGTCTCTAAGGGTGCATCTGCATTGTTGAATTGATGCACTTTGGCACCACTTTTCACTGCCTTGGCTCAATGCTGTGGGATCTTAAGAAATGTAGTTTGACCAGGGGCCCGGCCCTTCCACACAGCTATATAAAATCCCACATTATCTGCTTTGAAGTGGATTATATGCCAGTGTGGACTCCAATAATCCAGTTCAAAGCAGATATTGTGGATTATCTGCTTTGATATTTTGGGTTGTGTGGCTGTGTGGAGGGGTCCAAGGGTTTCAACCTTCTCTGCCAAAGTTGCGCCTCCCAGAATTCCATAATAATAATAATACTTTATATACTACTCTATCTCCCCAAGGGGACTTGGAGCAATTCCTAAGTAATATCACAAAACATACAGAATAAAAACAACATAACCATAAGATTAACAAACAAAATATAAGCATAAAAGTTGTCGTCATAACACACATATATTAAAAGTAATCTTCCATGTTCAAGGCAATTAAAAATGTAAAAGGCCAGGCCAAGATTTGTGCAAGCCCAAAAATTCTTGGGTTGTTGTAGGTTTTTCCGGGCTATATGGCCATGTTCTGGAGGCAATTTTTCTCCTGACGTTTCGCCTGCATCTATGGCAAGCATCCTCAGAGATGCAGGCGAAACGTCAGGAGAAAAATTACCTCCGGAACATGGCCATATAGCCCGGAAAAACCTACAACAACCCAGTGATTCCGGCCATGAAAGCCTTCGACAATACACCAAAAATTCTTGCCCGGGAATTAAGTGCAATGCTATAGCAGGCAACAATAATATTAGGTACAGGTCTGTGGCTGTTCATTCCAGGGCCGATTAGAGGAAAGTATCTGGGTAACTGGTAGGAAGAATAAGGCTGTATTCGACAATATGTAGGCCTGAGTTAGAACTGGTCATTTTCAAAGGCTTGTTGAAAGGCCGGGCCAAGGCTACTGTAAACTCAAAAATATGAGGGGACCGGGATTTGAGTACAGTGCTATAATAGGCTAACAGCAATACAGATACGGGGCTGTGGATGCTCATTTCCAAGGCCTATTAGAGGGATGACCGTGGTAATAGGTAGGAAGTATAAGGCTAGAACTGGTCATTCTCAAAGTCTTGTTGAAACCACCAGGTCTTCAAGCTCTTAAGAAAGGAGGAGAGGGATGGAGCCTGTCTTATTTCCTTTGGAAGGGTGTTCCAGAGGTGGGGGGCCACTACCGAGAAGGCCCTCTCTCTCGTCCCCACCAACGTACTTGTGACGGAGGTGGGAGCGAAAGGAGGGCCTGCCTGGAAGATCTTAGAGTTCCCGTCGGTTCATAGAAGGAGATGCGATCCATATTATCTGCTTTGAACTGGATTATATGGGTCTACACTGCCATATAATCCAGATTACCCAAGCAGACAATCAATATTATCTGCTTGGAACTGGATTATCAAGTCTATGATGCCATATACTCCAGATTATCAAAGCAGACAACCCATATCTGCTTTGAACTGGATTATATAGAATCATAGAATCAAAGAATCAAAGAGTTGGAAGAGACCTCATGGGCCATCCAGTCCAACCCCCTGCCAAGAAGCAGGAATATTGCATTCAAATCACCCCTGACAGATTGCCATCCAGCCTCTGCTTAAAAGCTTCCAAAGAAGGAGCCTCTACCACACTCTGGGGCAGAGAGTTCCACTGCTGAACGGCTCTCACAGTCAGGAAGTTCTTCCTAATGTTCAGATGGAATCTCCTCTCTTGTAGTTTGAAGCCATTGTTCCGCGTCCTAGTCTCCAAGGAAGTCTACACTGCCATATACTCCAGATTATCAAATCAGACAATCCACATCTGCCTTGAATTGCATTATATGTGTCTACAGTGCCATATAATCCAGATGATCAAAGCAGACAACCCATATTATCTGCTTTGAACTGGATTATATGAGGGTACACTCCCATAGAACCAGTTCAAAGTAGATCACCTGGATTTTGCATGGCAGTGTAGAAGGGGCCTATGTTTCTAAACCAATTTAACCAGGGCCAATTTAACCAGGCCCAACTTCCAAGGAAGTTAAGATGCTGCATGCAAAGCATCCCAAGAATCTCCTTCAAGGTGAACAGGTTTTTCTTCAGCACAAGCTTTCTAGGAAGCGGAGCCCCTTCCTCAACAGAGGTAACCAGATGTGAAAGGTCAGCATCTGGTTTCAGAGTTTCTCCCTTGATTATATTGGCAAGATTTGTTCAGAGTGTTGTCCCTCACCTTCCATGGAGACTGAGAGAGAGTGACTTGTCGAAGCTCACCCAGTGGGGTGCAAACCCTGCTTTTCAGAGCCATGGTCCAAACCATTCTACCAGGCTGGCAAAAAAAGTATTTATTACAGGACTAATTCATTCATTTATATCAGGGGTCCTCAAACTAAGGACTGGATACGGCCCTCCGTGGTCATTTACCCGATCCTTGCTCAGGGTCAGCCTAAGTCTTGAAAGCACATAACAACAACAACAACAACAATCCTATCTCATCAGCCAAAAGCAGGCCCACACTTCCCATTAAAAACTAAAGTTTATTAACAAAGTTTATATTAGTTAAAATTGTTCTTCATTTTAATTATTGTATTGTTTTTAACTTCTTCTTCTTCTTTTTTTGCAGTACAAATAAGATATGTGCAATGTGCATAGGAATTCATTCATATTTTTTTTCAAATTATAATCCGGTCCTCCAACAGTTTGAGGGACTGTGACGTGTCCCTCTGTTTAAAAAGTTTGAGGATCCCTGATTTATATCGCATCTTGCCCCAATTCTGGGACTCGAGGCAGCTTATGAATTATACTATGTAATACATTTTGGAACAAATTCAGTTCCTGGTTCGAAAGTGTTATTTGTGTGCTGCACACTTTGAAAGTAGTTGTTATGCCCCAGAAACTTTGTTTTTGTGGCTGCCACAAACTATGTTGGATTGGTTGAAACTATGAGATATTCATTGAAAAATTAGCAAAATGTGCTGCAGGATGTCCCGCAATTTGCAATTTAATAAACCTTTCCCATGTTTTTATGACAGAACTGATTAGGAAATGACATTTGTAACACAGAAACAAAAAATATGTTACATTGTGTTATATATATATATATATATATATATATATATATATATATATATAAAATAGATTGTGTATACATATAATATTTATAATATTATAATGTAATGCAATATAATAATAATAATATGATATTATAATTATATATTTATATTACATGTAATATTACTAATAATATTACGATATAGTGGTATGGTGCAATATAGCAATGTTTAATGCTGATATTAGTGCTAATAATATAATATATTGTATGTAATATATACCTTATAAGCCACTCTGAGTCCCCTTCGGGGTGAGAAGGGTGGCATATAAATGTAATTAATTAATTAATTAATTAAAGCTAGGACAATGTTAAAACATGCAAAAATTGGTAACACGATTTTGTATTATTGCAAAATGAACAATCCATGGAGTTAATGTGATTTAAAACATTAAAATAGTTGGTTGAAATTATAGTTCTTTCAAAGTTGCTGAGTATGGTCCGCTTAGTGGTCCCCAGGAACTGAAGAAAGGAGTTTATTCAGTTTTATTCTTTCTGTTATGTTTGCAAGAATTTTAGTTCAACCGAAGTTGTAGTTTCCATCCTGGTTCTACCCTTCTTATCCAAAGATGTCAAGATTCCCAGCCTCAATGAGTGTGTCTCCGCTCTGCACTCTTGCTTAAATTTATGATTCAGAAATTGAGATTGGGATGGCAAAAAGGCTGACTCATTGAAGGATGGAGGAACTGAACTCCAACTTCTAGAACATGAGTCCAGTTGTAGGAAAACTTGTAGCTGAAGACTTATATTCAGATTATCCTTTTATTACTTCAGTTTTGCCACAGAAGGCACCATGTTACACTGGGATTTCCTTTCCCCTAGCTCACAGACTAGATTCTAATTCAAAATGGTTCCTTTAACACTTTAAATGTCAAGGCTGACGACTTAAACTTAGAATAGGAACCTCCTCACTCCAGCACTCATAGTCAGAGACATCTTCCTTTTAGCTCACCTGGCTAAAGACTGCCTCATATTTTAAAATGTCCCCTCTTCTCCTTTCAGTTAGCTCCGCCCCGTTGTCCTCCTAGCTAAACTGAAATGGGTACATTTCTACTGCAGGGGCTACGCTACTATGGCAATGCATCAACCAATCAGCTGTAGCCAACTCCTGCCTGTATCTGATATATATCAACATTAATAAACACAGTTAAAACTTCCATTAAATTAATTATTCTGTTACAGTCACAATGACAGTTCTGTGTGCTTTTTCATGTCCAGTGTTGTCTCTCTCTTGTCAGTGTTGGAATATCAGGCCCCTTGAGTTGGTACTTTGACACAGTGTTTTGATTGAATATTATCTGCATTCATAGAAGATCTGAGCTGACCAGCTTCTTTTATCAGAGGACCCACACACTTAATCATTCAATGTTGAGGTCTCCTTGTGGAAAGAAAAAGTGGGGTATAATAATGATGATGATGATGATGATGATGATGATAATAATAATAATAATCTATATAAATAAAAATGTAATGTTCATTTGTGGGATTAACATAACTCAAAAATCACTGGATGAATTGCCGCCAAATTTGGACACAAGACACCTACTAACCCAAGGAGTGACCATCACTCAAAAAATTGATTTTGTCATTTGGGAGTTGTAGTTGCTGGGATTTATAGTTCACCTACAATCAAAGAGC